GGGTTGGACTCCATGATCCCTTCTAACCCCCACAATTCTGTGAACTTGGCTTCTCCTACCCCAGTCCCCTTTTATTTCTTTTCAGGGGGTCCATAATTCCCCAGGATTTAAATTTATGTACATACATGTTTCTCCAGAGGCAGCACAGCTGATCAGTGTCTGCATTCCTCTTCTCTCATTATTCATTTTGGTGTTAATTGCAACTGAAATGCTTCCACCTTGAACCTGAAGGTTTGAAAATAAGCAATGATCATACAGACTGGAACAGGCTGCCCAGGGGGGTTGTGGAGTCTCCTTCTCTGGAGATACTCAAGTCTCGTCTGGATGCCTACCTGTGTGACCTGCTGTAGGGAACCTGCTTCGGCAGGGGGGTTGGTCTCGATGATCTCTGGAGGTCCCTTCCAACCCCTACAATTCTGTGATTCTGTGATTCTGTGATTGCTCTTATTGCTTTTTTCCTTATGAGCCTGAACCAAGCATCATGATGCACGTAAAGACCTGAGTTGTATTCAGGCACAAAATTAATGTACATGTATATGTGTGCATGGAAATAAACACTGAGAACTGCGGTTTGACATAGGATCATAGAATGGTTTGGGTTGGAAGGGATCTTACAGACCACACAGTTCCCAGTTCCTGCCTTGGGCTGGAGCTCAGGCTCAGGCTGCCCAGGGCCCATCCAACCTGTCCTTGAACACCTGCAGAGATGGGGCATCACAGCTCTCTGGGAAGCTGTGCCAGGGCCTCACTGCCCTCTGAGTAATGAATTTCTTCCTAACATCTAACCTAAATCTCCTCTCTTTTAGTTTAAAGCCATTTTCCCTTGTTGCATCCGTACTATACACCCTGGTGAAATTCTCTGCCACTGCCTTTCCTATAGCCTTCTTTAAGTACTAGAAGGCTGTAATAATGTCTACCTGAAACCTCTTCTTGCCAGGAAAAACAAGCACAACTCTTTCAGCCTTTCTTCATAGGAGGTGCTCCAGCCCTCTGAGCACCTTCATGATCCTTCTCTGGATCTGCTCCAACAGCTCTGCATTCTCCTGTACTGAGGGCCCCAGGCCTGGACACAGTGGTCCAAATGGTGCCTGATGAGGACAGAGCAGAGAGGGACAATTCACTGAGTGCAGCAGAGGGACACGTAGTAACCATTACCTCCCAGCAGTGTATTTGTGGGATTAAGAAATGCCCTGCTAAGGGCTGAGCAGAGCCCACTTCATGTAAGGCAGCACACCTGGCAGTGCATCTCAGAGCACATCTTCATCCTCGCCTCACCATCACCACTGCGGTCACTTCAATAGCGTGGCCATCTGTTATAAGTTAATGACATTAAAAGTAAAATGCAAGCAAATGTGCAGGCAGCTCATTGGGACAAGCCCTGCAGATGTCTTCACTTCATTAGAGGCGAGGCGCTCCTACAGCAGCTGCAGCACAGCAGCACGGGGCTGCTGCCCTCACCAGACTTCACTCATTGCTTTGTTTTCATGGTGAGCATAAAGCAAAACGCACGTCACAACAGCAAGCTTTGTCTGCACTGAGACTGGCTGTAATGAGCCCAAGCCTGACTGCCATCATGGATTTCTGTGTAAATGCAGCTTATTTCCCAAGCCTGGGCTAGCATACAGATGAGAGGAACTTGAGTATCGGTGTTGGTGTTTGGCTGATGGGTTTTCCTGCATTCTTGTTACTAAGCTGCAAAGAGAAATCTTTGGGTTTTGGCACTTCTTAAATTCTGCAACTCAGAGGAACCTATATTCATACAGAGCCTTCCAAATGTGATCCACTATGTGTCCTCAGGACTGAATGGATGCCTGCAGGTCAAAATCCTTCTGCCTGAGTAGGAATGCAGAGAATGCTGAGAGGAACGATCTCTCCTCTTGCTATTTTGAATGGGAACCAGGTACATATCTCAGCGTCCAACAATAAATGTTTTTAGGGGAGACTCTGGGGTATTTATCACTGAGAGGTCAGCTTTTCCTGAACACTGGAACAGGTTGCCCAGAGGAGTTGTGAACACCCCATTCCTGGAAGCATTCAAGGCCAGGCTGGATGTGGCTCTGGGCAGCCTGGTCTGGTGATTGGCAACCCTGCACTTAGCAGGGGGGTTGAAACTAGATGATCATCGTGGTCCTTTTCAATCCAGGCCACTCTATGATTCTATGATTACTTCGACACTCAAAAGGGTAAGACCGTGAAATGCCACTAACAGCAACCTTTAACAGCAGTCACATGGCAAAAAGCAAAAAGGAGCGAAGGAATGTGCAGTTTACAATCGCCCAAGCCTCCGCTCCAGTGGCAGCAGCACTTCACCACGACCACTGCTGTCACCTCTGCAGACAGCCAGCTCACACCACACAGCACTGCCTGCCTGCAGGCCCTGCGCAGCTGCGGAGCGCTGCTGGGAGCCATGGCTCTGCCCCAGGGGCACCGCACTGTCACCAGCCCTACGGCCGTTTGGATCACAGAAACACCAAGGTTGGGAAAGACCTACAAGGTCACCCAGTCCAACATCCACCCATCACCAATAGTTCTCACTACACCATGTTCCTCACACAAAATCCAAACTTTCCTTGAACACCTCCAGGGTCGGTGACTCCACCACCTCCCTGGGCAGCCCATTCCACTGCCTGACCACTCTTTCAGAGAAGTAGTATTTCCTAACATCCAGCCTGAATCTCCCCTGGTGCAGCCTGAAGCCATTCCCTCTGGTCCTATCACAGTTACACGAGAGAAGAGGCCGACCCCCAGCTCACTGCAACCTCCCTTCAGGTAGTTACAGAGAGCAATGAGGTCTCCCCTGAGCCTCCTCTTCTCCAGGCTGAACATTCCCAGCTCCTTCAGCCGCTCCCCATAAGCCCTGTGCCCCAGACCCCTCACCAGCTTTGTTGCCCTTCTTTGAACCCGCTCCAGGGCCTCAATGTCTTTCTTGCAGTGAGGGGCCCAAAACTGGGCACAGTACTGCAGGTGTGGCCTCACCAGAGCTGGGTCACAGTTTAAGAATGCAGTTCTGGGATGCTGCTGTACACCCACTAACTGTGGAGAATTAAAGCCCTGAATTACAGCAGGACCACTCAACGGCCTGCACATCCCTCTTCAGTAGTGGCTGATGGGGAGGAAAGGATTGCGGTGCCTGGGGAAGCCTGGCAGAGCTCTCCTGTCAGTCTGCATTACACCGCAGGTGTCAAGTGGGATGGATGCTTGTGGAGCTGTGGAGAGGAGGAGCCCCAGGAGAGCACACCTGGCACCCAGCGATCCTCCTGGCCAGAGCCCACAGGTGTTACATCAGAGCGTGCAGGTGGGAAGGAAGTGTGATTAAAAGGCACTAATAAGTGGTTTGGAAAGAACAGGCGTAGAAAAAGGAGAAAGGGCATTTCAGGTGGGACAGAATATCCCATTTTTAATATATTTTGTTGTTGTATGATACTGGGGGGAAAAAAACCCTACTCTTAACCATTCATGCTTTTTCTTTCTTTCTTTTTTAATGGCTTAATCAAAAGGTCAGGCAGCTGCATTGCCCCAAAAATATTAACTGGATCTTCACTGGTAACAAGGTATTGTGATGTGTGTGAGCAGCCCCATCCCCACACAGAGCACCAACCGTCAGCCTCAGTTGTGGCCTTCACTGCTAGGACGCCTTCATTATAGAGAAGCGTGCCAGGAAAAGGAGAAGCTCTTGCCTTTCCCACAGGGAGCTTTGTGAGATGTCCGGGTGTTTGTATCCTTATTCAACACGCTTCCTCAACTTATTTTTTCTTTAGATGCAAACTCCCTCACTTGTTTTAAGAGACACAGAGTATGGGATGTGGTACATTGGCACACGGTTCTACTCTAAAGACTGGATTTCTCAGGTATTGGTTCTCCCATTTAATGTCAGCTAGGATTCTCCTTACAGACGTCGTCCTACATTGTTACATCTCTGCTCAGAGGGTGCAGCACCATTAGCACTACGTTGTGATGGCAAGGGGCAAGCAGCAGAGCTCTCCTTTGCTACAGGAGAACAGACTACGGATATGGACACTGCAAACAGAGTGGATGTGCCCACTTTACCTCAGAATGAACCTCCCAAACAGGAGGAGCTAGAAGGATTATAGCTTGATCTTAATTATTTTGTTAATGACCCTGGATGGAAAGTACTTTTTTTTCTCCTTGATAACTAGCACATTAGCATGAAGACTCAAATCTTCCTTGGAGACATACTATTTCTGGCTTAGTAAAACCAATACTTCTTATTTTTAAACTGTTGAAAATATATCAGCAGGAATTCCCAAGTGAGCCCAGAACACCTGGACCAGATATCCTGCCCTGCTGTAATGAAGCATATTTAGGGCTGCCTCAGAAGGTCCCTCTGCTGCAGTACGTCACCACCTTATAAACAGGAGATAGTAATAGCACCAAATAAGATCGGGGCCTTGCCACACCCTGGCACTGAATTTGTGCTTCCAGGAGTGAGGTAGAATAGGTTAGGTTTTAATTTAAAGGATCTGAGTGAGGCTCGTGAGTAAAAGACACTGACAGAATCACTGAGGTCAGGCCCCTTATCATGGAATCATAGAATGGCCTGGGTTGAGAAGGCCCACAATGATCATCCAGTTTCAATCCCCTGCTATGTGCAGGGTTGCCAACCACCAGACCAGGCTGCCCAGAGCCACATCCAGCCTGGCCTTGAATGCCTCCAGGGATGGGTCATCCACAGCAACCTGTTCCAGTGTGTCACCACCCTCTGTGTGAAAAACTTCCTCCTTTATCTGAGCTAAAGCACAACAGCACTGAATTTGGCAGGGTTGAGGCATTTCAGAACTGAGCACCAATAACTCTGAAGCTGCTAAGATGCAAAAATACAACTTCAGTTATCAAGAATTACATAGCATTAAAAAAAAAAACAAAAAAAAAACCCTGAATTTCTGCTTTAGAGGTCAAAATTAGTGTATCCCATCAAAACTTTTTAATTTGCACACTTTCAAATTATGTCATTGCATGTTTCGTATTTCATAAGTCAAAGCTTGAGGAATGAAAATAGCGTGCCTTTATTGTGTCACAAGTCACTGCATAGCTTTGAGTGAACCTTGCAAACCCATCTGCAAGAAGTGGACGCGTGCTTACAGAAGGTGACGGATGTTCTGTCACCAGCTCTCACTATACTGCTTTGCACAGCTGCAGCACTGTTTTATACCAACTGCACAAGGTTCACTGGAGTCGCTTTCTCTTTCTCACTGCAAGAACACTGAGATGAATACTTTAATGCTAAGCCTTCACTGACTTCAGTAGGACTCCTCTGTCCCTTAGGTAAGCTTGCACACGATGCCTGCAGGACTGGAGTTTATGACTACAAGAGCTGTGACGAGGGGGACGAGAACAGAAACTAAGACAGGAATTCAACAGTTCAATGCATCTGTCTTGCTGGAGGAAATCAATGCCTTTACCTCCTACTGAACGTTACAAACAAACAAAGATGTTTAAGCACAAAGTATATATTTATACCAAATAAAACAACTGAAAAAGTATTACATAAAGAAAAATAATGTAACAGAATGTACTTAGGTACCTAACTTACAGTCATGCTCATATCTAAAAAGTAACAATGGTAACTAATATACGTAATTTTTGACAAGGGTGCATTTAAGAGTTCTCTAACATACAACATTCTAAATGTGTAGAGTATTTTTTTTTCCAAGATACAGAAAACAAATTATTTTACACAGGCACACCTGTTAATTTGAATTAAAAAAAAAAAAAAAACAACAAAAAAACATGCTCGTAAGTGAAAAGGTCACTTTAGTACTAATTTACCAGATGTGTGAAAGCTATGTAGTGTTAATCACGTTGAAACTGTCTCTTCTCCTTTTGCATTGGTGAGCGCCAACACTGAATGGTACAATATTTGATCCACGTGGTTTACTGACACTGCAACCTGTTTCCAAGCAGTCGCCCTGCCCAGGTGTTGAACAGCACAGCACGGTGCAGCCCCATCCATCTGCATGTAGTGTATTCTGCCTAAAAGCTATTACAATTATTACAGTGATTTGTTTCAATATATACATCAGTATAAAATACTACCCCAAAACACTTTTGCATTTCAAACACTTTAACCACTTCATCAAACAATGCGTTTGCAGAATAAAAAAAATAAACCCAATTAGTGTTGATTGCCAACAGTACAGCATGTCTGTGGTACGTTTCCTAGTAAATGAGAACGGAAATGTTTGAAAATCAATGAAAATAAGAATCACAAAACAGAATTAGTGTTAGAACAGTTCAAGGATTCCCAGTCTGTCAGTATCTAGCCCGAACAGTGCTACCCAAACACAGTATAAGCCATTTAGTGTTTTCACAATGAGAAAAAAACACTCAAAATTAAAGCTGCGACAAACACACAAAAGCAAGGAAAGAACATCTGTTCTGTACACGTCCGCGTGGCACCAAGGCATGGCGTGCTGGGAGGCTGCACCCAGTGCACGGTGTGCTGTGATACCTGGATACAACTGTGGAAGACAACTGAAATGGAAACAGTTCTGTTTCCTTGCTGTTGTGGTTTCACGTTATACCATTCAAGTTATAACAGCTTCATGTAATTTGTTCTCCTGAAGGGAAGAAGAGAGAAAAGTTCATAAGGAAATTTAAAAAATGCTACTAAAATCCATAAGTTGGACACAATACACTGCTTTAGGAGCTACCGTGTCATTGCACAATACAGAAGCGGCCTATCAACCGCTGAACTACTGGTGTAGTACAACATGTTGGCCACTGTGTTTTGAAAACTGGGATTTTAAAACCTGCCAGCATTCCTTAACAAGGCAGAAACAAATCTGCGGGTTTCAAATACTACCATCCTTATGTAAAGTAGTAAATGTGCATCTCGAGTGGCAAAATTCAAATCTCTGCCTCTGCTGCTTCAGTTCTTAAAATGAGACTTTTATCAGTCTTTGTTCTTTTATATTATCCTGAAGCACGTTTATTTCTGAAGTATAAAAATGACAGTGATCATATGGGTCATTTGTTTTGCTGATCCATTCCTAACATGGAAAGGTAACCAGTTTCTTTAACAACAAAATAAAAAGCCATTAAAATCTCCCTCTGGGAGAAGTCCCCGTTAGCTGGGATTTTTCTGAAAACCGGGTTTCATGCTTACAGCATCTTTACAGTCATGTTAAACACCCTTGAAAATAAAGGCTTATGTTGAGAATAGCAATGGGCCCTTAGTTGCAGAGGTGCTAACTGCTGACTCGACTTTTAATTAGAAAAAAAACAACCAAAACCCCAGAAAATGTCATAGCTTATACTGAAAGTTTGATTCATGCTCATTTTGTTCATTTAAAAATACTCTTTGGAAACTGTCAACTCCTGCAGACAACTTAGTGATACATCTTTTCCTGTTAAAATAAAGATAACTCATATTCACCTCTATCCCATGCTAAGCTCTACTGCTAATATACACTTCATTACTTGCTCACGTCACCATCTAACACATATCTTTACAGACTTCTACATTGTGCCCAGGGCTTATTTTTCACCAAACGGAATTTGATAACTATTACACTTCAGAGTTTTTACTGAGGATTCTTGTTTTTTTTGGTGTTCTAGCCTTTTCATTGCAACTTACAGTGATATTCATAGTTCAGACCATTTTCCCACGCTCACTCAGGAGAAAATTTTCAGCAAGTTTTTTCCCATCAAAGAATCTAAACTCATTCAGATACAAAACTGAAAACCAGAAGAGAGGTTGGACGCATCAGTCACTGTAAAATTGTTTCTGCTACTTTAAGATGCATTTCAGAATGGTAAATAGCACACTTAGCTTCTAATTCAGTATCTTGCAAAGAAACATGAAAAATAAGCCACTGGTCATGGATTCTAAGGATTACATTCAAAGCTAGCCTTTAAAAAAAATAGAAAAGTCGCAGGCAAAACGCACTGTTTTATGTACTCACTAGCTTATTGCGCTACAATAGCCATGGTTTGGGTATAAAAAAAGCAGACAATTCAGATTTAAATAAGACTATGTGAAATCAGAAAAAAACCTTAGATTTCACTATTTAAAAAAAGAACACCTAAAATTACTTCCCATCCTATAGCTACAGTTAAATCAACTAACAAAAATAATCAAACTATTTTTGACAAACAAGAGTTAGGCTAGAATAAGTGGCAACAATCAAAGTTCATATATGTTTCTATGTAAAATGACTCATGATTTACTATAACATAAAATATGAACAAAAGCACTTTGTGGCTAATGAAGGAGCTACTAGTGGAAACACTTAATGCCAGTTTTCAGCCCTCCTTTAAGTCATATCTCCAAATCAGTATTGACTTCATTTGACCAGATACATCATTTTTGGCTTGTCACCCAGTATGTCACGTTTTACCACTTTCCACAGGCAGCAGGAGACAACTAGCTGAGCAAACTACAAGCAGTGACATGCAGAAATTTACTCTCACATCTGAGTACTTAGATAAAAATGATATGCAAGCGCACACTAGGACAAAAGGAATGGCATTCGTCATTCAAATAGGCTCATCATTCCCTCCCCCACCCCCCAACAGTAGTTGCAACAGCAATAGAAAAAGGTCAAGAAGATGTCTGTTCTTCAGAGTCAACTGTGGAAAAAAGTCAGCAATATATAACAGCAGCGATGGACAAGGAAGAGCAAAATGAAAGAATCTTGCTGAATATTTGTTCATTTACTTTTTCTGAACACAAGCCAAAGTGTGCCACACTGACTTGTTCTGAACTTCAGATACAGATGTCCTATTCTCCTTAGATCCTTCACAGATTTAGAATTCAGTCTCCCTGAGGCCCCTATAACCAAGTAAGAAAACTCTCTTTATCTAGCTTGGTGGCTGCCAAGACAGATTCCATGTCATTTAGGATGTCAGAGCTCAAAGCCTCTTGCAGACTTGGCATCAGTTCTTCTCCTTCTATATTCATCCCATCTCCTTCCAGTGTCCCAAGGTCCACATTTGTCCCTGGAATGGCTTCAAGGTAGTCTGGGAATCGGTTCTGATGGGACGGTATGTTACTTTGGCTGATACTGTCACCTAGTTGTAACAAAAAGGAAGATGGATGTTCAATTTACTGGAAGTACCAAACCCACAATTTATCATAACTGGTTAAAGGTTAATCCTGGATCTCTTGCATCACTCGAGCACTGATTCATAGAAATCCATCGCAAAAACTGAAGATGACTTGGCTGCACACAGATGTACAAAGAAGTTGCCTTTGTTTCAAACTTTGCATGTCTTAACCTGAATCTCTACAGATCTTTGATGTCTTTTAGCATGTTTTAATTTTTATGCTTAAAAGACAATACTGAGTCAAATATAATTAGGTGCAACATTAGCAATAACGAATAAGACACAGTTTTTAGCTCAGAACAAGCTATTTCTTAAGAAAGCAAATCGGTATCCAAATTCCATGTAACTGCAGGAATGATCCCAATAAAATTTACTACAAGGATGTTTTTCACAAATTTTCACAAACAGCTCTGCGATAGAAACAGAAGGAGGTAGAATAACTATAAAGAAAACATTGGAGCTTTTCAGAGCGCTGTTTTCACTGCAAAGCGGCTGAGCATTTGACACCAGCATAACTGAAAAGGATGTATTAATGAGAACAAACCTGTATCCATCTCATCAACACTGTTCAGGAAGTCATCTGGGGTTCTGGGTACACTGTAGCTGCTCATGCTAAGTCCGCTATCTGTGCTTTCATCTCTGGAGTGATATGTTCCACTGTAACAGAAAAAATGCAACAAAAATGAGGGTAGAGCAGAGAACTTAAAATACTCAGACACTTTGTTAGAAACAGTGCAGGGGTTTTGATAGCATGGCTGCCACAAGAAATGCTCCATTCTAATTAAAAGCTGAAGCCTGTGTGAGACAGCTGGTTTTTATTTTATGCTGACCTTTCTCAAGTAAGACCATATTATTGAGATTCAATTTGACTCAGTAAGAATGTACCTAAGCAGCTTTAAGAAACTGCCTATCAATGTTCCACACCGTTTTAATTTTTCACACCCACCCACAGCTAAAAACCATCAGAAGCATATCACAGTCCTTAACCATTACAAAGTTTAATAATGGTGTACATTTCACACTTCAGTAAGGATTAAGAACATTCTGACCACTAACGTCCCCTTGTTTAATCAGCCACCGAAGTGCATTTTTAGGTCAGCGCAGTTATAAATAGGAGCTACAGTTGGAACTCCTTTAGCAATTCTTCAGTTGCTTCCCGCTGTTGCATTACTACCAGTTCAGTCGTACATGTCATGGCAAGAGGGCCCTGATATAAATCAAATACTGTACAGAAGCCATTCTGTAAACAAATCCTGTTCAGAACGATCTTGCTGACAGAACAGTTAGCAAGATGGCACAGGGCCTCACATATATTAGTTTTCTCATTGCCATCTTACTACCAGTGGAGCAAGCAAGACCAAGGGACTGCAATGGAGATTTGGGATGGGAGTGGGAAGAACAGGCCAATCAGATGAGCTACAGTCAGCTGGGGGGGGATCCAATTTTCAGCTGACTTTCTTGTAAGTCGCATAAACTATTTCTTTGAAAGTAGAACAATAGGAAAAGTTATATACAACAGTGAAAATCACTATCCTGACTGGAACAATTATTTTCAAAAGCAGGAAGGAGCTGCTACTTGTTATACATAGGCATACATCTGAAATATTTTGCTACAATAGCTGAAAGGATGCAAAGAGTCCCACCAGTCAAAACGGTCACGAGCGGAAGCAGCTGTAGAAATATAGCACTGCCTCCCTCCTCCTGTGTCTAACAGCCAAGCTTCAACTGGAAATATTTTCAAACAAAATTTCTTCCACCTGTGGTAGCATTGCTGAGAACGCTTACAGATTTTCCACCGTGAATCCTAAGTGCAAATCAGTCTGATGTATAAGCTGTACAATCAAGCTGTGCACTGTGTTGATTAGCATTTGGAGACATGCTGAGCTATAGTGTATGCTTGTCAAGTATGCAGAAGCAAACAGAAGATAGCTGAACAGCTGTTCAATATTGGATGCAAGCAAAACACCATCAACCATGAACATATACGTTAGATTTCACAAGGTCGTCTTTGCCACACAAGAAATAAAGCTGGCATTTCTATATGGAGAGCCAAAGTATCACCACACATTTGATAACAATCATCACAAGTAGGCTGTTTAAAACTTCTGTGAAAAAAAATTGCTGTTTACTTTGTGGGACAAAATACTAGAAATAGAACTGAGAGAACTGAGCCTATGCTGAACTGAATCATCCTGGTTGAGAAGGCTTTTTGGCTGGTGCTGTCACACTTGGAATGTCCAGACCTCCTCTTTCTTCAAATCACTCCTCAATAAACATTTCCAGCAAGGATTTCTTCACTTAATAGTCACACCACCCAAAATTACTGCATGCAACTAAACTGCATTACCCAAAATAGAATGGATGCTTCTTCAACAAATACTTGTTAAAATATGTGTATACAGAAGAAGAAAGCCCAATTTAGGAGTGATACAGAATTGCCAACACAACCAGTATAAATTTAACAGTCAAAAAACATATGCCAAGTAGCAAATCAAAAGCCAAAATCATATAATGTAAAGTCTAAATATTCTGCATTGCTGTCATATTTCACTTAAAAATGAAATATAGCATAAAGACAGAAGACATCAGGCAGAAGACTGACTACTTAAATAAGAACATCACTGTGTACTTTCTCCATTTCCTCCAATGTAGCATTCTTTGATGCTTTTTGGATGTTCAGAGTATATAGGAAGTGGAAAATATTCAGCTACTTGAATTTCTGGAATGTAAAGTTAGGAGGATTGTTTCACCAGGAACTTTATCTACTCTGTGAAGAGAAAGGAGCATTTCTGGGTATCTGAATTAAAATATAAGGAACATCAAAACTACTGTACTGCTGCACCTAGGTCAGGGCCAGCAACCCACAAGTGTCCCTTAGAGAATCCCTTTCCCTTATGCATATCCCAGAATTAAACTCAGTGATGTACACAGAATTATCTAGAAGGGAACAATGCTTAAACTAAAATGTAAATTTAAAAAATTATCTGAATTGAGATGAGATACAGAGTTTTCAGTAGTCTGTGTGGGGTAAGGGCTACAAAAAACACAGCCAAGTTAAACATACCTGCAACTAGGCAAATGATAACTTCCAGTAAGTAGTCCTTGCTAATTATCAATCTGGCAAAAGTTAAAATAACTGTCCTTTCTAGCTTTTTTCCTACTTGTCATTAAAGACAAATCATTTTTTATTTCATATATACAGAAACACAACAAACTGCTTTAGTCCACTGCTGGAGTATTAGACGTACAGAGGAGTACAGTGGCAATCTAAAAACTAAAGATACAGAAAACAAGAGTAAGAAGTGAGGCTATTACATTAATTAAGGATAATGTTCAAAATACACCCAGGCTTCGTGTATGATGGCAACAGCCTTCCAGGAATTCAGACTGGTTTGTTACTATAACATATCATGGTCATCTTCTATCTACAAGGACTTCTTCATTTATTTGTCACGCCACGGAAAATTACTGCCTGTAACTAAACTGCATTATTCAAAATGCAATTTGAGATAGATGAGTAAATAGTCACCTTTTCAGATTCCTTGTGCTTTTTATTCCTCGGCACAAAGCCAGCACAGCTGAAGATCACACCAAATTCCAGTATGAATTCCATGGAAAACAACCCCTCCCTCTAACAGAAAATTACGCTTTCTAACCAGATCTGTTTTGTAGGAGGCAGGACAGAGTATTTGAGGAGATGGACAGGACTTTTGGAGAAAACAGAAAATATCTGTAACTGGGAAAAGGTACTTTAGGCATCAAAAGCCCAGACAGGAGCGACAGGTAATGTTACTACAAGAAGAGATGTAGAATTGCAACAAAGGCTTACAAAGATTTTAAAGCTTTCAGTACCTAAGATGATGGCAGTTATTAAAGCTTGCCCAACTCCAAAACCATGTTAATTCTAACATGATGTGAACGTCCTTCCTTACAAGCAGATTTGAAACCCTTCTGGTAGCAAAAATATAAGTTATGCCTTGCACTGAAAGAATTTGGAATTTTATGTAAAATTTAGGTTAATTTTACAGGTTGTTGGTGTTTTGGTTTTTTTTTTGTGTATGTGTGTGTATAAGAGTACACAATTAAAGAGAAGGATGAGCATATTATAATTCAAGAGCATTTACACTAAACATCCTAAAGTAACACTAACATTTCAAGGTAACGTAGAAAAGCACCAATGAACTCTGATGGAATATGTAACTTTTCTCTTTTTTGGTAATGGATGCTGAGATGTTATCAGTTTAAACCACTAACAAAATATTGTTCAACAAAGCCCTACAAAATGAACAACTTCAACTACTGATACTGACAAAACTTAAATAGATTTTTTTAAACTCCATTAAATAAAAACATAGGTGGTTCAGAGATTAGATTATTTTGTCATTTTCATCTTTCCTTTTCAGCATGCTAAGTAAAAAATATAGATGCAACTTATCACAAGCTGCAGCAGGGTCTCCAAAACTGTGACGATTAGTACGAAGCATCTGTAAGCTGCAATTAGGACAGTACTTCCAAACAAACAAACACTCCTCAACTCAGAGGGATTAAGGAAAAAGTTATATAAAAACACTGGTCTATATTGTAAAATCCTAATTCTTGACTTAAAAGGCCCATACTTCAAAATAATACAGCTTATAAAATGAAAGATGCCACTATTGGCAGTCCTGACGTTAACAGAGCAAAAATATTGCTAAATTAAATACTTGAAGTGATGGGGAGGGGTGAACGGAACAACCTTAAAATGAACCTCAAGGTGTAGTCCTAAATGTGCCTCACAGCTCATTTGATCTCATAGCAAGCTATTCACAAATTCTTCTGAGTCAGTAATTTGAAATGACTGTTAGTCAACAGATTATGCAAAGGCAAACATGTTATGACTTTGAATAAAAAACCTTCCTACAAGTCTGAACAGACTACTTCCTCCCACAGGAGACAGCTTTTAATCCTCAACTTTTACTAGACTTGCCATTTAAGGAAAGATTCATTTACAGCTGTGGCTTTTGGCATAGACAGATGTTCAAAATAAACTATTACATGTTCTGAACAGAATTTTAAATCAATTTTTTTCCCCTCCAGTAGCTACTCCTACAAACCTGTTAAGAAAGGGATCAGAACTATTTGTAGTCATTGTTCTCAGTTCCTGAGACATTCCAGGAGATGATACGGGATTTTGAGATCCACCATCTTGTTCCATTGTTGGAAGCTGGCTACGGAGAGCCAATTCCTAAAGCAGGGGTGAAGAGGAAAAAAGAAAAGATCTTGTTAGGCATTTGAATGTGCTTTTCAGATATGTAAACATATGACATTTCAGGATAATTGATGCTTTTAGTGTTTTCAGTTAAAAGATTTTAAATGCAATTAAGATTCTGAAGACAAAGCAAGAATTTTTACTGGCTTCATTGCTAATGGAAGTTCAACCAGTCAAGCCCAGGACTACAAGGAATTCACTGTAAATACATTTATACATATAAATTTGTATGTGATCACATAAATCTTCTATGATTTCACTTCAACATCCTTAATAATTATTAAGAACAAAAAGAATTAGCACTACTCAACCCCTAACATATATCTGTTCTTTTTCGTGGAATGCAAGATGTATTCTACGTTCTCCTTTAGCATCAAGTTACACGTTTTGACTAGGTTTTCTCACACCAGCTGATTAGACCTTCACAGCAGAGTACAACCACACCATTAGTTTTTGGATCTGACACACCCAATTGCTTACCCAAGTAAATATAGTCCCCATCCAGCCTGTCCTGGAGTGTCTCCAGAGACAGAAGATGACCACCTCTCTGGGCAACCCATGCCAGTGCCTCACTGCCTGTACCATAAAAAACTTCCTTATATCCAATCTAAATCTCCCGTTCTAGTATGAGACCATTTCCACTTGTCCTATCAAAACAGACCCTGCTAAAAAGCTTAATCTCTTCTTTCTTGAAGTCCCCCTTTAGGTACTGAAAGGCTGCTATCAGTCTCCCCAGAGCCTTCTATTCTCCAGGCTGAACTGCTCCAGCTCTCTCAGCTTGCCTTCGTAAGGGAAGTGTCCCATCCCTTGGATCATTTTTGTGGCCCTCCTCTGGACACACTCCAACAGTTCTATCTTTCCTGTACTGAGGACTCCACATCTGGACGCAGTGCTCCAGATGAAGCCTCACCAGCACAGAGCAGAGGATCACCTCCCTCGCACTGCTGGCCACACTTCTTTTAATGTTGGAGCCAGTGGTTGGCTTGCTGGGCTGCAAGGGCACATTACTAGCTCATGCCCAGCTTGCCATCCAGCAGTACTCTTAAGTCCTTTTTGGCAGGGCTGTATTCTATCCTTTCATCCCACAGCAAGTATCAATAGCAGGGGGCTGCTGCAACACATTTTCTTACGTAATGAAACCAAGTGCATACACTACATGAGCTCTTAGTTTAAAACCAGGTTTACCAGTTAAATTCAGTTAAAACCAGTTTACCAGTCACATCAGACCTGATACAAAGAAACTGATATGAAAAATTCATTCTTGGAATGCTTCATAAGTGGAGATCTAGGGAAGGTCTTTGATATCCCGGAAGAACTTGTGAACTGCAAAAACTGCTTGCTCACATCAAAATTTTTATGCTCTTCTTCCAGAGACCAAAAGTCTTCCAAACATCAGTTGAACTTTCCCTTCTCTGAGAAACTACCTTCGTAAAATGCAACTACTTTTAACTAAGTCCATCTCAGTTTTCTGTCAAATGAAAAGCACAGGGGGTGGATATCACTTGGAATTGCAACACTGCTTTAAGCACCTTCTCAGTCTTGTATTCATACTTGGAATAAAGCACACTTCCATCCTCTACACTGATAGCAGAGTTGTGCATTAGTGAGCTCTCCCCTCCCTGCTCCTATGTCTCTGTGGTAAGAACTCTGTGGCCTTCTCCCCTTACCTCAATTTGATTCCTATATTGCATTTTTATTTCATTTGTTTGCAGTCCCTGACTAGGATGAAGAAGAAGAGCCAACTGCCTGCAGCATGCAAAAGAAGCTTCATCAGAGACCAGTGCCCCAAAGAGCAATAACAAAGCAAAATCAAAATGCAGGAGTCATTCCTGCATATAGAGCATAAAGTGATATTTTATCTCATTGGGAAGACCTGACCTATCACACAGTCACAACAAATCTGAAAAGAGAAAGTTACCACTGTATTTTCTAAATCTTCAGTGGGTAGGAGAGACTGAATGAATTACATTGTACATATAATTTACATTAATACATTAATACATATAATAATGAATTACATTACACATATAATTTACATTATATGACTTTAAATAAATGTATTTCAGTTACCAGCCAGATACAAATGAAAAGTCACTTCTCACTTAAAGGTCTGCCAAATAGGTGTCTTAGGCCAAGAGAGAGAACTACCTTTTCTTAGGAGTGAATGACCTAGTGAAGAATGGAATTAGTACTATTTTAGTCCTTATTTCAGTAACAGCACTGCTAGAAGTGCAAAACGACAACTGTTTGCATTAATGCTACTCATTGAGGAGGCAGAACTAGAGCTCTTCCCACTAAAGAGAATGTCATTCCATCATTCATTAATGTAAAACATTTATGTCCATCTGGAAGTCTGGAAGGGAAAGGCATTACCAAAAAAGCCAAGCTATTCAGAAACAAATACAGAATGATTTTTAAGTAATTCCTTAAGATGAGCATAGTTCTACAAGCCCTCAAAAATACATTGAGTATATTTTTCCTTATAGATGCATGCAGTGGAAGCTAAACTGGTATACCCTGAAGAATGGTCCTTTCATTTCTTCTTCCTTTATAAAACTGACTTTCAATAAATAACCTTTTGCTTCCTGTAATTAAAAAAGACATACGGTAGCACAGAAGTCTGTCCTAGCTCCACATGAAGCAAAGTGAACTCTAGGCTTTTAATTCATGCTTTAAAAATATATCACTTAAAGTCCGAAGGCAAAAATAAAACCATGACAAAATTCTGGCTTAGATTTCTATAATTTCATCTCACTATATTTTTGTATGTATGCTAAACTTTTTTTTACGTATTTCTGGGTAAATAAAAGCCCAGCATAACTACTGTTAACACAAAATCTGAGTTTTGTATATGGTGTACAAGACCAAATGATCTGTCACCTCCATAAGGACAGGAATTCAAAAAAGAAGGCCAGTAGTATGTAATTTTATCACACTGACCCTATCCAATTTTTTTTTCAGATTTGCATAGACACAGTTGTACATGGGGTTCAGAGTCATCTGCAGTCACTCTTCTGAGTGCATTTTTATTTTCATCATCTTTTATCACAGTTTTGAGAAAAGATAAGGACTCCCCTGTATATTTCACATACCATACTCTTACTGAATTAAACATAGAAGAAGGTGGTCAACTTAAACAGATGCTTCAGTTTATTTATTTATTTATTTATTTATTGTATACTCAGTTTACATGAGCTGAGTAACATTTCTTACTCTAAACACCATTCAAGAGTGAAAACTTTTGTAGGTTCACAGAGATGGAAGAGAGGTGTTAGGGGAATGAGGGGCCACTGCACTTTGAGCTATCAGTACCAGTTCTTCACTTTAAGTATTTATGTTCTTAATTGAGAGCCCCAGAGTTAAAGCATATGTAGAAAAGAAAGAGAGAAAGAAACAGATGAAGACAAATGAATTCAGCAATGAGAAGTTATGCAATTAGAGAAGAGTAAAGGGAAAACTTAAATCATTCAGTGTCGCAATCATGAAAACCAGCAAAATTAATTCAAGAGGTGATAGTGATAGAGTGATAGTTAATTGCACAGTGTACACTTGGCATGGGACTCAATTCTACGTAATGTCTTCTGCCTAAAGACTCCTAACAAAAGCTTTTAAACAACACCTTTGCAAGCATGGATGGGGCAGCATAAACTGGAATCAACATCTCTAAATAGAGTCTGGTTTTGCAGTCCACTGCTGTAGCACTGCTACAAACCCTTCTTGCTGTGTATCAGCCCATGCCTCCAAACACTGCACCTCCCCAGTGTGTCCCCGGAGCTCCAGAAAGACAAGCATGTGTCAGCAATTAGCCAGAGCTGGATGGCCTCCCTCTCCAATTTCTGTTTGCTCCTAGCAAAAGGTGTTACACACTGCCATCTCAGGCTCAGGTTAAAGTGACTCATCTTCTACTGACCAATTGCCTTAGCAGAACTGATGGCCTTTTTAAAATGCAAAAATCTTCCTTATAACTCTTTTTCTCGGGAACTTAATACCCTTGATGAAACCAACACTGATCATTTTTCTCTTGTCAATCTAGGTCAGCTTCAGATCCCATGGAAGGATGGGAAATGAGAGCGTCACTGGATAACACTGGGATTCACTAAGAAACAAAACAAAAACATTTCAAATCTCAGTGGAAGTGGTGTACACACAGGTAAATCTAAAGTTGAAATACATGTATGAAATTTAAAGCAGTTAAATCAAATGTACCAACAATACTTCCTACCTGAATCTTGCTTTCAGCTTTGGGATGTTTCCTAGGCCCTGCAAGAACTGCACTGTAATTCACTTCTCTCCCCTCCCCCCAAAAAAGAGGTGCAAGTAAGGACCAAAGCACTAATCAAAAGAAATATAACAAATTAATGCTACTATTTTATCTTTTTTCTCATGAGATTTTACCTGGGAAAAAACCTTATTAATATTTCCAGCTTCTCTGAATTCACGCAAGCTGACTGCAGAATGCAGAAGTGTTTGCTTACTAGAAAATGTCTCAAACATGACAGTCAAACAGCTTTATTTTTGCATATGTGCAAAGCAACTAAAAAATACTTCATTGAAAAATAGTTTCCTAGGAACACTTTCCTGAAATGCTTTAAGTGTTCTTGAGTAAGCTGGTGAAAGGTATCAAACACCAGCTACAAAAAAAAAAAAGAATTAGCAGAAAGGGAAACAACATTTCAAAACCAGTCACCGTTTAGCACTACAAGTGCTTATAATTTATGCAGGTAAGAGCAAACATGAAACAAGTAAACAGTGAAAGACAGGCCAAATGTCTGGGCAGATTCTTCTATGAACTGAGGAGCATTCAGAACGTCCCTCTAAAGCTGATAAGAAATAGGCCTTGGGGTAACAGTACAGACAGTCAGAAAAGTACTTCACAGAAGGACAAAAAAGATGGAGATAACACAGTACACATTCCAGGCATACAGAACCACCAAGAAAGAAAACAGCACAGAGGTACTAGAAAGGTAAGTCAGAGAAAGGAGCCCAGCAGACTGCACAGAAATTGGGGCCGTTTCTGGTGCTAAGACAGAGCTCTTCATTCAGACCTGAAAAGAAGCATCAGACAGAAAACAAATGGCTGTATACAGAGAAACCTATCGCACAGGGCTGCATAACAAGCTTATCTTATTAGAAAATGCCTTAATATTACTGGCAGAAAAATAAGAATCTCCCAATCTTAGCACAAGAAAGTAGACTGTGTAAACATACATGAGTAACACCCCTCTTTTTCCACTGTATACTAGAAGGCAAGTATTATCTAGTTATGCATCCAATTTTATGATTTATACAGAAGTTGACTGACATCTACTTTAAATGAGATGTTGACAGTTGAATGCTAAATGTAGGAAACTGAAAGGAGAACTAACGGAGGTGGAAAGAAAGTCCTGTCATTCAATCTCTTAACTGGGACAGATATGCATCCTTAGGATAGCCACAGAGAAGTCACAATGATGAGAACAAGAGGATGGATGGTTGGTGTTTTCAAATTCCTCGGATAAAGCCATAGCCAAGATGCTTGCTTGCATGTAGTACAAGAGGAAGTCAATGTTTGCTTTAAATTCCTTTGAATTTGATGCTTTCAGAATTATAATAAAGCATGTCCTCGTTCAGAATCTTAAGACTTAAGATGAAGGATGACTGAACAACTGTTTAATCTTTCTGGAAGATACTTCAGTGTAAAGGCCTCCATACATGACACTGAGTATCAGTATCACTACAGGACACTACAGCATTATGGCAGAGGGACTGCATCTAGCAAGGACGCAACATTTACTCAGAACCAGAAAACCTGACCGAAGATATCAACTTTGTATCCAAATTAGGTGACAAAAACCTCAAGAAGCCCGGGCTACATGAAGGATGTTGAACTAGATGACTTCTGTCATTCCTTTCTAACATATTTGATGTTATGATTAAGAAAAGCTCAGAGATCCAGATCAAAGCTAAAAAAATGTTCTCAGTGTTCATTTATGTAAAAGAGATACCTTACAAAAGGCAAACTTCAAGAATGCTGGCGTGAGGTAGTTTATTTACTAAATGAAGACTTTGACAGGCTCCAAAGTTGGACTGAATATAATTTAGACCTAATTCTGAGAATTCAGAGCACTGAACACTGGAAGATTTTACTTTTACTTCTTCCTTAAAGGAACATACACAAATTAGCAAATGTGTATCTAATAAAAACAGAAAACTCCTCTAAGCCTCACGAATTTTATTCACGAAGGAATGTATCTGTAAGCAAGAAGAATTTGACAAGGTAATTCCTCTAAAGATTTTCCAGATTCACTAGGTTGACCGTGATCTAATGAGATGTACGCTTTAGGACTTGAATAACAGCACCACTACAGCAGACAATGTTTGATCCTATAGCATAAGGCATCAAGAAAGCAACTTCTAAAAATAGCTCTAATGGCTGTAAACTAAAAGAAGAAAATTTTAAGTTAGATATCAGGAAAAAAAAAAAAAAATCAGAAGGTGGGTGAGGCCCTGGCACAGCTGCCCAGGGAGCTGTGGATGCCCCATCCCTGCAGGTGTTCAGGACCAGGTTGGATGGGGCGCTGGGCAGCCTGACTTAATGGGCGGCAACCGTGCTCACAGGATGGGAGTCAGAACTAGATCTTTAAGTTCCCTTCCAACCTAAGCCATTCTAAGACTCTAAACATCATCTTCCATATGCAGCTGATCATTACATTATTAAAATGACTTACACATTTAGGTAAACACATTTAGGTGATACAACATGAATGACTAGTATTACAAAACTTAAGTTGACACGGTTACATACTTTTCTACCCACCAGAACATTCAAAGCTGGCTTGGCTCATTATCAAGTGCAGACTAAAACTGATCCCAGTCAGGTGAGTACAGATGGGAGCTTGCTATGAAGCAAGATTAAAGGTAACTGGAACTCTTCTGTTTACCCGAGTCCTTTCACTGGTTCCTATCCCAAAGAAAATAGGCTGATGCATACATATTTTCAAATTACTGATAAGGTCCCTTGAGTTTTTACAGCTTTTTACTGATTTAAGCCAGAATCGCACTAAGTTTGAGAAATCAAATCTGTCGGAATTAAGTATGAAACTGATTCCAAAGACTTCCATTTGCTGCATATTTCTAAGCTGGCAACAGGAAGATGTTACTTTGAAAGAGGGAACAACAACATGATAGGGTTTCCAGGCATCCCAGGAAAGACAGAATCCGGTTTTGGCATTCAGCAAGAAAAGCATCACTCCTGAATGACCTAATTGTAGCAGAAGATAAGGTGTTTCCAACTGGTGTGGAGGAGCATGTGTCTCTGCTTATTTCCTTTTATACCAGCAACCTCTAAGTAATTTTTCATCTGCCTTCTATAACCAGATCTAACAGTGATCGATGGGAACATTATATGATTAATGCTCAGTAAATGAATCAAATAGTTGGGTAATGATTACAAATCAGGTTAAGTGCTTCAGTTTTAGTGCTCTGCTTATACTGTCAAAAGATGTTTTTCAGAACATCAGTACTGTCTCTGAAGTCTGAGTCTCTCATTTTGAGGATGACCTTCTCAGAAGAATTAGTAATGTATGAATTCTACAGCACGCTTTAGAATGCGACAGTACACCAGTACTCATCACTTCCAAATACAGGGTACTTCCTTTTATTCTGGCTTTCCTGCATAGTGCAAATACTGTATTTCTTAAAAAAAAAAACAACAAAGTACAATGCAAGCCAATATAAATACTGTCCTAAAAGCCAGTAGATTAAGAATAATGTTAGTAGTAGCAAGCAATAAACTGTCTGAATATATCCATAAATCCACTCTTTCAGGGATTCATCTCATATTCAAGTGCCCAAAAGAAGCCCACTTTCAACTGTTTATTGTGCTACACATTTTGACCATTTTCATTTGCTCCGAGCTTGGACAGCTTCATAGAATTATTGTTCCCAGTGGAGAAAATGCATCTGTGCAAGAGCTGGCTAAATCTCAAAGTGGAATAATTATCTATTATATTGCCATAGCAATTACTTTATTAGTCTAATTTATTAAATGTTTATTACACTGTACATGCTTAAACATTTCAAGTGACTTTTTATTAACAGATTCACAGACACCCTTTAAGATCACACCTGCTCACGAGGAGAACATGCATACGAATAGAACTTAAAAGCCACAAACTACTACCTTAGCAACAATGAGAGGTTTGCTTTAAATACACATCTTGACGACTTCAGGACTGGAACAGTGGTACAGAGGTATCTTCAAGAATGCTAAACAAGAACACGGCTTTCAACGCAGAAAAATGTGCAATGAATTCCTCATTGCATTTATATATTGATATCGAGTTGTGGTAATGCAGCACTCTTAAAAAACAATGTTAGGGTTGTGATCAGAGAAATGGTTCAAAAATATGTATGGCAGAGCATGTTTTTTCTTAGAATGCCTTTACGTTCCTCAGCTAGTCTAATCTAATGCTTTCATGTTTCTAATTATGCTGAAACATCAGTTAAGAGCCTACCTGATGTTTTGGAGAATTTGCTGTGCTGGGATTCCGCATTGCCTATGAGTAAAAATAAGATGGATAAAAATTACTTTAGCTGCATGTTTTGCCTGTGCAGGCGGTCTTATAAACACCATCTTGTAGTATCAAGCCCCCAAGACAGGCCAGATGAGACAGGTTAAGGGAGTTAAGAAACTATAAAAATCATGAGATAGTGAAACAAAACTCACAGATTTACCAAGGATGTGTACTTGACAGAAAAGCTGGACGCCCAGAGAGAACAACATGAAGGGAGTTGGCTGTCACCTGGTCCAAAGTTAGTCAGATTCTCAATGACAACTGAGGCAAGAAGAAAATTAGAATGCCTACCTAGAAGCATGCTAGCACAGGGTAAGATGTTTGTTGGTGGATTAATAGCAAAGCAGGAACAGCAGAGGCCCAAGTGCTTAAGCAGAGAAAGTCCTGACACCATCTTCGCAATGTACTCTTACCTAGAGTACCACAAAAACTAACAGCTTTAAGGATGACCCATCTTATACCAAGAGATGCTGAAGATTCTTACAAAACAAGCCTTGACTACAAGAGATAACGGGAGTCAGATTCCAGGATAGAATGCTGCAGGTGAATAAGAAGGAGAAAAGCTGTCTTTGAGGACAAGATATTATTCTCTCCTGATACAAGACCCATCACCCAAAGTGAAAAGGGAACAGGGTAAGATTTTAAAAGCTTTTCCTCAAAGAAAAGATTAGTGTTTTCCTCAGTATCAAAAAAGAAAACAAAATCAAAGAACATCCTAAGTATCTTGCAGAATGGCAGTCACCTTTTTTTAAACACACAGATGGAAAAGTGGAAGTGAAAGGCTTAAAGTGAAAAGGAAGCCAAGCCCAAATTCAAAATCCAGAGATTCCAATGTCCAGTGCTACACTTTGACATTCACTATGGCAATACTTGATATAGTAGAAAACGCTGAAAGAAACAGTTTGCAGCCTAATTATGAAATCTGAAATTGCTCGCTATAAGAAAAACAGTGGTTCAAAATGCAGCATGAATGCTTGAGTTGTTCCATGCTCTCTTCCACTGTTTCACAGATGAGCTATTTGGCAACAAGGTGTCTCTTCAATGTTTCTTACAAAAACTTAAAAAGTACTGTAGAATCCAACTGGACTGACGTTCTTCTGAAAGTGAAATACTTTCCTCTACTTAAAAGGGAGAACTAACACAACTGTGGGAACCAGCTTCTTTTTGCATGACTCAGAACTCAGTGACTATGAGACATATTCTCAAGAGCAATTTCCACAGTCAGACCAACGGTCCATGATGCCATCCTAACAGCGAAGAAACTTGACCTCAGAAAGTTCTGTTAGAGAGGGAGGAATGAGGGAGGAAGGCAAAATCCTTCAGTGGGGTCAGATGCTTTCACCACCAATCTGAGATCCACTAACAGAACGACTTCAGACCTTTTTAGATCTCAAAGCTTTAAGACTCAGCAAAACTTAGCCAAAACAAAACAAAATATAACATACAAAGAAATAGCGGAAGTAGGTGTCTAACCTGTGGCCTCACCTGCCGAAGCAGTTCTTGATGCTTCAGTCTCAGCCTTTCCTTCTCCATCTGTAGCTGCTGAAGTCTCATCTGTTGTTGCTGATTGGAGCTACTCCCACCCATGACGCCACCTTGGGGACTCTGAGGAGCCAGAGGGGGTGGCTGTTTCACCGGAGCACTTTGGCTGATTCGCTGATTCATGGCTAAGGAACCAAAACAATAAACGTTTAAAAATAAAATTCAAACAAATACAAGACAAGTACTATCCTCAAACAGGATACAGTAAGAAACTACAAGCCATGACCATACAAAACTTGCAGTCACACTGACGTTCAGCATGAAATGTATGCTCGCGTGTATTATTCCTGTGAAATCAACGTGACATTCTCACGTTAACGTGTAATACTTGTTCTAAAAGCTCCTGAAAACAGAGTTAAATGTGCAAATTGGTGCAAAATGTCCAAGCGGTGGGAAAATAATTCCATTTTAATTAGAATGCTTACTCTCTCTTCTTCCCAATACATTGTTGTCAGCGTGGACACAAATAGTGCAAAAACACTTTTCTTGTTCACATGAAATCTTAGAATCACCAAACGTACACAATGACAAAAGAGATCTCACTTAGATTCAGCTACCTTGGTTACATGCTATACCTTTGCAATGGGGTACAGGTCAGACAACAACCACTCACATCATTTTTGGAATCAGTTTTGAATATTACAGACTCCATTTAGACTTCTAGAGCATCCTGACATGCAAAATCAGTGCTGATAGAGGAATGGCAGATGAATTACACAGACAAAAATACTACCATTTACACAGGAAATATTTTACTGATTTCTTTGCTTTCTGCTTTCCCACAAGGGCTCCATGATGCACCTTTTCTGCTCAACTAATGCACTATGAGGATCCATGTTTCCTTCCCCCAGAAGGCAAGAGTTAAACTTATTTTGTTTTATAAAACAATGCATCTGCTTGACAGACATGATGTTCCCTCCACAAGAGTTGAAGTCAACAGAAGCACAGGAGTTCCCACAGTAGAACAGAAGGCTGGCAAAGGCTGAATACGTCATTAGGGCACTATTTTCAGAAGCTTTCAGTTTTGCAATTAGCTCTCCATCTTGTCTTCAACAGCTTGAATCTGTTAACATTAACAGCATGCTGCACAATGCATTTGTAGAAGCAGTCACAGGAGAGGTAGCATTTTTTTTTTTTCCTTCCGAGAATGAGGATTCTGGTTTATGGGAACTCACAGGAAAAGGTTGCTCTGGTGCAAAGAAAATCATATGCTGCCTTAGTTTGAATTAATATTTTCATCATAGAAAAGGGATTCCTGAAACACGAACACTTAAAGTTTCTTTCTTAAAATAGTTATCTCAGAGAATCTGTGTCACCTTTTCTCTCAGAAGCCCTTCAGTCTCCATTGTCTTTTGAGTGTTCAACTTAAGGTGCACAAACACCTTTCTTTCATGCCAGAAAAGTCTAAAAATGTCTGTCTCACAGCAAAAATGGCTGTTGCTTCACAGCTTTGCTCCCCTCCCCTTGCCACAGCTCATCTTCCCATTGAGAGGCAATATAAAAAGAAAAATGTCACATTAAGAACAGAAGAGAGAAAAAACAGTCAACAGCTACAGAGCCAACTCTCTAGTTTAACCATTCAATGATTCTCACAGAAACAACACTCTAAAGGAATAGTGGGTTCTATTATTTTTATCAGTCAATTTGAAAGACAGCACAATGTGGAACTGCTTCAAGTAATTTGAAATAATGTTTTATATAGTTACTCCAGAAAGAGTTTTATACATATGATCACAAATGAAATAAAAACTTCCTGTAAAGTAAACAGGTGAAACAGGAATAGAAACTGCAACCAAGTGCAGCTAGAAGGAGTGAATACAAAAAGGCTGGAGATTCAACTGCAACCTGCAAGTCTCATCCTGAGCTAGTGAAAAACAAAAGAATAAGGGGCAATTAAAGATGCATCGACTAGAGCTTAGAATGAAGCAGCTTGTCAGACATTTAGCACCTGAACTTCAGGAAGAAGTGACCAGAATCAGCCAACCTGCTTTACTGTGTGAGCTACAGCCCCTAGGACAGCAAAGGGAAGAGACAGGGTGGCTTGCTTCTCTGCTGAACAGTTCCATGTGCTCTGAGACACCAGAAAATGCTAAGCAAAAGTTCCAACAGCACCAATCGCTGTGCTGCAAAGGATGTGAGCAGCACACATAAGCTCCAGGAGCTCCTTAGATAATCTCCACTGGAAGAATGATAGCACTTAGGCTGCCCACATTTACCAACTTAAGGCAAAGTTGGAGCTACAGAACATGATGCAAGAAAGGATGTCCATGTAGCAGCTCTCAATAAGCTGAACGTGACACTACTGGATCAGGAAACGCATCTTGTCCTTCTTCCCTTTTTACTCAGAATCCTACACTGTCTAGAGCCAGGAGCATGCCTTTTGCTTTTTGTATCTTACCCTCTTACTCCTTGAAAACAGACAACGATAGGGGCTTCTAGGGGAAAAATGAAGAGTCTTCTCCTGCTGTTACCTAATTCTGTAACTCCAGCAGAAGTCTGTGCTACGCTTCAGAAGTTCCAGGACTCAAATCCTGTTATTAAACAAGATGGAAGTTCAATTACAGTTGAAAGGAAAGGGGAACAAAGGTTATAAAATTAAAACTGCCCACAGAATTACCTGCAAAAGGCAATCTAAGTCAAAAGCAAACTACTCAGCTTATAAAAATTAAGTACCCAGAAGCTGAAGAATATAAATTTTCATTTGGTTAAAAAGGCTCTCTTTATGATGTAGTCTCCAATTATATCATCCTGGTCCCAGAGTTCCTGCCTCATGCAGTTCACAGCCAAACTGTGTCACAGGTAACCTCACACACATACAGGTATAATATTATTAACATCCCTTCAGCACATTCAATTGGCTTTTCCCGCTCACAACACACCAACAGTACTTCCATAGGTCTCTTCCACTAACACGTAACTTGGGGAATAACCCATTTTATTCCAATAAACCAGATCACTGAATTGCCTACTAATGTCCTTTATCTAACTAAAAGCGCATTTCAAACAGCAACATCACAAAATACCCGTAACTTCAGTGTATACTCAATATTCACCAATAAATACCTGCAGGCATTTAATTATATTATTTGTTAACAGAACCTGAAACAGAACTGAAGATCAAGCTTCTAAATTCCCATTCAGGTACTCACTGAAGTATTTTCTAAATATTTTACCTACTGAAGAACAAGTGTAAGGACTTCAAATTCAGAACAGGTCACGGAGATGTTTTTCAAGCAAGGGGAATATTTTGCTTATGAAATTAAACTATAAGTTTGGAGACTGGAAAAAAAAAAAGGACATAGCTAACTGAATTCTACTGACTTAAGAACGTACTCAATTCAGAACCAGTGGGGAGAAAACATAGTCATCAGCCATTTTGACTGATTATGCAATTGGGCAATTTTCAAGATAAACAGGAAAAAGAATGTGATTTTCTATCATTTCCAACACAATATTTAATCAAAGGAAAGCAGGAAAACATCTTGTTTCAAGTGACAGGAAAAACAGAGGTTTTCATTTTTCTATAATTCTCAGTTATCCAGTACTTACTGAGGACGTGACTGCACAAATCTGCACTCTAGAAAATATGCTTATCAGTGGGATCTGATAGAAGCAGAATTATTTTCACACTTCATGAGTTTCTGATGATCCAGGCAGACACAGCTCTTTTAAAATACCTTGAATTCAAAGGCAGAGAGCTTCGTTCATCTATTAGAGTTAAGACTTATCAGATTTTCTGATGCATCCTGTTCCTTACCTTCCAGGAATATGGAAAACATTTAAATAAGGGGCTCTGCACCCACACAGTGAAGGCTGCAAAGACCTCACAGGCAGACAAGGAACAAACAAGTCTTTGTTTCTAAAAGAGGGGGATTTGAGGGAGGAGGAGGAGGGGCAGACAAGTTTTAAAAAAAAAAAAAAAAAAGGGAAGGGAGGGAGCACGGGCAACTTAAGACAGTAAAAAAGATCTCGCAGTCCTATAATATGGCTTAGATTTACATTCTGCAGAATGCAGTCAATCGTAATAGCTGCAATCTGCTTTTGGGAACAGGTTAAGAATTAGCAATTTTCAAACGTTAACACAATATCCCAACTCAACTCAGCAGGCAAACACTTGTACCATACTGTAGCAGATAATACTTGACAGTTACTGAAAGGAGTTTAGGCCACTGTCTATATCCTTAATGTAAAAAAGCAACAGAGAGAAATAATTACCAGGCATTGGTGCTAGAGAGAAAAGGCCAGCACACTGGTAACAACTCTGACATAAAAGGCTAATTCTCTCCCAAGATCTCATGCCAATTTCAATCATGTCCCAGGGCAGTGACAGTTTGTATTAACACAGTACCTTTCCTCTACACAGAATTACATGCAATGGCTGCTGCAGAGCTCCCTTGTGGTTAACAGACACAGCTGAATATTTGATGGTTTTCCTTTTGTATTTGTCATTCCAGTCACGAAAACTAAAACTAGTTTTTATCTCTAAATGTAAAGACACTCACATTTATTTAAGCAAACAATAAAAAAAATCTTACCGTCTGGACAAGCTGTAAAATTTACTGTCCTTAAGTCAGAATCAGTATTTTTGCTGAAGGAACTGGAGAAGAGCACTTCTCCCCTTCAGGTTCACTTGGAAGTTACACAGTTTTTTTTGTGGATCACTTTTAGCCATGGTCAGGTTTTTGAATGATGTGAGATTGCTCCACTACAACAGAGGCAAAAATCCTGTGTTCAAACTGGAAAGAGCTGTGACAAAAAAAATCACCGTCGGGATTTATAAGAATGACTCGTGGAAGAAATTCAAGCTGCTCTCTTTTTAGAGATACTTCATAGAATGGCCTGGGTTGAAAAGGACCACAATGATCATCTAGTTTCAATCTCCCTGCAATGTGCAGGGTCACCAACCACCAGACCAGACTGCCCAGAGCCGCATCATGATCACACTACGATGAAAACACACTCAGACATGGGGTTTGGATTTCGGGTGGTCCTGCATGGAGTCAGGAGTCGGACTCAATAAAGATCCTTGTGGGTCCTTTCCAATGTGGAGCATCCTATGATTCCATGATTCTAAGAAGTATTCACATACTCCAGAGTTGGACTACCAGTTAAGATAAAAGCAGAT